TGGTTCCATATGCTTCAGTTGTTAGAAGCTTGATGAGTGTACAAGTACAAGTAAGAACTTATCCTGACATAGTTTATGTATTCAGGATATTTTGGCAGAAGTCCAGTTCAGATATAGATCACTGGAATAGAGTTGAGAATGTCTTATAATTTTGCAAAAGTATCACAGGCCTCATGCTGAGTAAGAAAGAACAAGTACTCTCAAATAGTTGGGGGTATAAATGTTAAGTTTTGGCGAGATGTGTAGTGAAATCCACAATAGTTGCTAACACTCGTAGTTGAAGTATTATTGTGGAAAAGCTCAACAGAAACAGTTGTGGAGTCATCAGTGATGCACACCATAGTATAGTTTGACATGAGGCTTAAGGAACATGCAAAAGGAGGTTAAGGGAATTTGTACCCGGATTTAACAATGGTAGACAACATCAACAATCATTTAAAGTAAGTTAACTCCTAAGATAACATGTCAAGTGTGCTACCAAACACATTGACACTAAGTTATATGTTGTAAAGGAGAAAATCCAGAATCATTTTAAAAACATTGAGCACATAAGTACCGAGTAAGTACTTGCGGATCCGCTTACCAAAGGCTAACCACCCAGTGCGTTCAGAGAACACACAGTCGACATGGGTTTACGGGAAAGCCTATGATTTCTAGATACTAAGGGCCTAGTTGAGTATCTGTTTCAAAATAGAGAGGTGCATTATAGCTGTTAAATCTAATGACAGCTGACTGTGACGATGAGGCACGTTCTATGCACTGATATGTGATGGAATGGAAAAAAGAAAAAAAATAAAGTTAAGTTTAAGTAATAAGGTGAGATAAAGGGGAAGAATGTTAGGTTGATCTCCACCAATTATCCCAACGGCTAATTGGACCCTTAATCCGCGTCCTGATCGGGGATACTCAGCCTTTCTACTGGCTGATGGACCCCCATCGTGCAGCGCCATAAAAGGACGGTGGGGCCTGGGGCACAAGACACGAGATTCGCCACAGCCGACAGCCCCATCGCGATGTCCTAACCCTAGTCTGATTTAGAATGGGGAGCTATAAGCGACGGAAAGCGCTATCGCCTTCGCCGTCGCCACAAGCACCACGCCCGTACTGCTGCTACCTACGATGACCTAGCGGGCGCGCCTCTGCTTCCCCTGCTACTACGACTCCAGTGGCCATGTCGCGGTGGCACCATGGCTGTGGCTGCGCATGGTGAGGTACATCACCAAGTCTCTCATTAAGCTAAGTATTACCTACTGATCTATGTCTAGAAGTGCTTTCAGTTCTATCAAAATAAAGTAACGTTTATTTATATCTTTTCTAATCTAATTCATCCACGAGTACTTTTTTTTAGCATATTCATCCACGAGTACTAACCAGCTCTCTGATCATTCACAGCAAAGCGCGTGCTATTTTTTTCCGTGTTTTCTTTGGTACAGAGTTCGTTTGGTAGCTGATTTTATTAAAAGTTGGTAATATGCGATGAATTAGAGATTAAAATCTTAATTATTTAATTGTCTTGAACTTATGAGCCTTATGCGAGTTAGATAGCGTATGTCCAACCTAACCTACGTAGTCTGATTTTAAAGTGCATTAGAACAAATGACATATAAATCACGTTACAACGCGTGGACATTCGGGGGATTCACAACGTGAGTATAAATGTGAGGGTTGCACTTCGTCACCAGCAAATGAGTACTACTACCACGAAATCATAGCTTCTGGCCATTTTGAGTTACGATAATTACTATACTAATTTATGAGATTATGATAACCTCCTCATAAGTGATTTACTATAGTATTATGGTAAGTATCATCTTGAATTATAGTAACACATGTATCGTAAATGTATATTGTTATTATCGTAAATTGATACAAACATTATCATAAATTAAGGTGGCCATAGAATAAGTTATTCTGTGGCCAGCTGTAGAATAGCCTTACCGTATATATATAGACGTACTATTCTGTAGCTGGCTGTAGAATAAGTTATTCTGTGGTCACTTTGAGTTACGATAATTACTATATTAATTTGCTAAACTATTCAAATTCACTGCCCTACTTTCATAAACTGGCAGTTATTTATTTCGATCAAATGTGCCAATTAATTTAATTATAAGCAGCAGCCATTAATTTTAAAGACATCTACAAGAATTTGTTTATTTGCTTCAAGCCAATATCACTAGCTATGTAGGCATGCCATGGCCACAAGGTCACTATATATAAAATTAAACACACGAGTAGCATGTCCAACTATAATATAGAATATAAAAACGCACAACTAATTGAAATGCATGATGTGATCGTTAAATCTGTAAGCTATAAATTATCTAGGACCATGTAAAATATGAGTCTCTTTGCAATGCACGAACAATTTTGCTAGTAAAGTACAGAAGAAGAAGTTCATCGTAACACCAGCCAACCGCCGGCCGGCAATGCAGATGTAACGAAGCTGATCAAGAGCTACGTGGTCACGACTCGCGACTATATTTATTTACGGATCGGGTCGTTTGAATTGGTCGGTCATATGATATCGTGGTGGTTGTTATATTAATTAAATTAATTTTATCGTGACATTCGTTGAAAAAACTAGCTTGCTAGCTTATACGCACTACTAGTAATTGACAGGCACACCAACGGGATCTGTTTGGAACGAGCGGGAACTTCACAGGATTTGCACGGGGATTTTACAGGAATTCAATATCACATAAAAAACATAGAAATATGGAGAAAAAAATCATGTTCCAAACAAACTCTGAATTCCCTTCTCGGCATTTGGATTCCTTTCTTTTACATGTATAGAGTCACAATAATCAGCCTGTTCGCTTGCTCGTAAACGATCGTAAATTTTCCAGTCAGGAATAATGTTTTTTTCTCACACCAAACCAGCCAATAGTAAATAATCCACGATACGATACGGCCTTCCGAACAGGCCGAATGTATATGGTAATGCATCTTGTAGGTCGTCCGGACGACCGGACGCTATCTTCCTGAGCCTGCGCAGCGAACTGGTCAAACAGGCAACCGGCCTGCTCCCCTACTCCCCCATCTCAGCGACCAATAATTTCCCCACTTCGCCCATCGCAGTGTTCACCACGGCGTCCGCCCCTCCGCCTCCTCGTCACGACGCCCACTCGTGACCGTGCCAGGCGGCGCGACATCCAGGCCGCCATAGATCCCCTCCCATCCAAGCTTCCTGCTCCAGCACCCACCCGCCCTCTACGTCATCGTCGCTGCCATGCCCTACCTCATCCACCGAAGCGACTTGCCGCTGCTCCGCGCACCTGCCCTGCTGCTCCTACCATTGTTCTGCTCCACCGCCTTCCCCGCCATGGCGACGCCGACAGGCGCCGCCAATGCAAGGAGAAGCTAGCGTCGGGCCCTAGCGCGGAAGCCCATCTAGCCTCGCCTCCTGCTACTGCTGCGGTGCCCCGATGCAGACGGAGAAGGAGGCCGCACATGGATATGATGCATGTTGCAAGTGTATATTTCAAATGTTTCAGATGTTTTAGATGTATGTTTCAATTGTTTCACACGGATGTTGCAAAGTAGATCGGGATGTTGCATATGTTGTAATTGTTGTACATGTATGTTGTAAGCGTCTGTCCCTAATATTTCATCTGTTTTTCAGACGTATGTTGCAAGCGTGTTTATCTGGATGTTACATATGTTTCACACATATGTTGCAAGTGTTTTATCTGGATGTTGCGTATGTTTGTAATGGTTTTCAATTGTTTTTGTAAGTGTTTCAGATGCATATTTCAAGTGTTTCATTTGTCTTTTGTTTGTTGCAAGTGTTGTATCTGAATGTTTTAAAAATAGATCAGGTATTGCACATGTGATACGCGTGGGAAGCAGGAGAGGGCGCGAGCGGTCCCCGCACAGGCGATGCGGCGTGGGCCCCTACGTCGGTGCGAGTGACGCAGGCGCGGTCGAGCAACGTCCGGGCGACGCGGACCCACGCGTGGATGTGCGAAATGGAGTGGGGAAACCGACCGCAGCCGCGGGCGTCCATCGAGACGTTCGGGCTCTAGCAGTGCCGTAATGTATAGCATGGAACGTTCAACTAGTTTTGTTCTCCAATTAAATACATATAATGCTGTTTGTTTTGCCGCTCTAGCATCTTAGTATTCAATCTAATATTCTGTTAGTATTTTGTTGGATTCTTTCATCGTCTTGCTTAATTTTTCACAAGAACAATTCTAAGAACGTAGATCCAACTTATAATACGACAACTTTATTTTTAAGAAAGTCCAGTAGCAAACACACAGGATGTATTTGTAGTTCACTGTCATTGACAAATCCGAAATAAGCAAAGCTACAAACACATGCGAGGGAGAGAGACATTAAAGATATTCCATCACAAAGGGAAAGAATAGATTAAAGATAGTTGTCGGCAAAAGTTCTATAGTTTCAGAGTGCACCAACGAATACAGAGGTTGGCTGGAAAAATACAAATTTGCATGGTGGTAGTTCTGTTGTCATTTGGATTAGCAGCTCATGAATGCATCAACTCAGGATCCAATGGCTGCAATAATCTGAATGAGAGGAGCTCGTGAATGTAACTGATAGTTTAGATACATGGTTGCTTGCATTTAAACTGAAACGGTTGTATGTGAAGCATTTCGCTAATGGAAACCGGTGTAGGCATGTAGTAACATTCTTAATGCATGGCTAAGCAAAACATTGAGAAATTCAAATAAACTTCCTTTCTAACCTATCTTAAAACGTCCTCAAAGAATACGTCTAGAGGTTCCCTTCATAGATGTCAAATTACCAGTTTATACATGACCGTTTTCGTGCTCGCATATATCAAACAAAAGTTTTCGCACTGGTAATAATCATCAAAGGCACGTAACAAGTCAGATGGGGGCAACCATGGCCATCAGATTCGCATGAGCAAAATCAATGCTCCAGAAACACCAATCCATGTCATAGCAAAAATAGTACACCAGTCTACGGTTTTCCAGGCACATTAAACCGCCTGTGTATAAAGATCACAGTTCTCAACCCCGGTTTTTCCCCAGCAATCTCAGCTTATTAGCTCTTTCTTCTTCCTCCTCCATTTTCTTTCTGCGTAACGCTTCCTCTCTTTGCTTTTGTATCCTTTCCAGCTCCAAATACCGTTCCAGCTCTTTCTGCTCCTGCTCAAGAGCTACTTTTCTTTGAGCTTCCTCCACTTTACGTTTGTTCTCTTCAAGCATTCTATCCAACTCCTCCCTCTCTCTTCTTTCTTGTTCCTGTGAAGTTTGATTCAAATATATTTGAATTTGAGCCACTGAATATTTGCATGGTTCTTTGAATAAGAATTGTGTTTACAGTTCCTAAACACACAACAAAATGAAAGGATAAAATCGATACAAGGCTAAACTCTAAGGGGCAACTACTATATATGCATTAACGCATAGAAAACTACATCCTTGTGTTGAAGCAGAAAACATGACGACCCTGAATCAGTAACAGTTTGCTTATAACTAGAAAAAAACAACCTGTTGCACCAAGCAAAAACCGTTCCTCAGCCTCCAGAGCACCTTCTATCGGTTAGGAACAAGGTTAATATATCAAAGCTAGATATTCCATTGTCAACAACTTACTAGCTCTCTCAATAAAAAAATCTAATACTGCTCTTATGAACAATAATCAGCTACAGAAAGCATACAGATACATAGAACTTACTGCTTTCTGCCTGGCTTCATGAAGAGCCGCTTCTTTCTCTTTTTGTAGCTGAGAGTCAACCTCATCAAATAACTTTCTAATACCCTCCTCAATTCGGCGTTCAATGTCAAGTTTCACCTCCTCAGAGTTCAGACGTTCCTCGACATTTTTTCTTATAGCTTCTTCGACTCTTCTAGCAAGCTCCTCTTCCAGTAACTTAAATTCAGCTTCCTTTTGACGCCTGAAATTCAATAACAAATTATACAAGTGGACTTAAATACGAAGGGACTGATTGGTACATAGTATAGTAAATATCACCATTTGCATACACGAACAGCATAATGCTACTACATGAACTGACTTCATATAGCATTACACTAACCAAGCAATTCCAAAATAAATGTGCAATGATATTGCTAACTGAAACAAGCAAATGTACTATTTGAAGCTGGATAAGTAGAACTATGAAAATGGGCATGATATGTGGAACCACACTATTTGTGAACCGAGTTCTCCAAAGAGGAAAAACATCTACCGGTGATAGGCTGGATGCCGATGACATGATGTAAAATGGTGTTATGTGTGGCTGTGGGGAGGAATAGATCTATAAATAATAGCAGGACAAATATGAGAAGCAATGAGCATGATAGAAACTTTACAGAGTAGGAGAGTTCAATTAAATGTTTTTTGCTTGATTAAAGAAGGTACCATGCTATTCCTATAATAATGCATGAACTGATACGGCATCAATTATCTATACATAGGTGTTTGTACACCTAATTTAGGCATATGCACTTTCTACATTTCATAAGTAATGGAGTACACACGTGCAAAAGTTCTTTAAATTACAAAAGGGTAAACGATTCTAGGAAACAGCTACGAAACCAGTTACAACCGAGTTAAGAAACCTGTTTACTGGGCTGACTCCACGGTTATGGCATGTTTTAAAAAAGCCACAATCTAATCAGTTCAACTACTTAATCAGCCAGTTGCACTTTAAAGAAGTGTAGGCCCAACAACAGCAAGGAGAGGCTTGTGTTACAACAATTACTAGTTATTATTACAATTTTTTTCAACACTCAAGAGAGCATATCATTATATTAAGAAAAGAAAAAAACAGGGGTAAGAACCCCTACACCCACAGCCATACATTGTAGAGAGTTAGATTACATAAGAGCCCAAAGTGACTAGGAAACGACCTCAACCTAGCGTAGGTAGTCAGCCAAGCCTTATGGGCCGGAACACAGTATTGTAGGCCCATTAGGGATAGGGTTAAGTATAAGATTAGATATCTTGCTTAGGAATCAAGTAAGCCTCTCTATATAAGGAGAGATGTATCGATCAAGCGAAGAAGAATATCAATCTATTAGGGTTAGTTCCCTTCCATCCCAGCTCTTTTGGTGCAGCTGCCACCTCTTGACTGGCGAGGTCACTGCATGGATTAGGCCATGTAGATCAAGGTTTGTGACACAACCTGAGAAGGAAACTAACACTATTCACCATCCGGCAGAAGGGCAAGATAGTAAATGTCATTGGCCGCAGCTAGATCTCAGTCAACAACTCCCAAGCGAGCAACAAGGCTCTCCAGCCAAGTTGGGAGAAACACCATACAAAAACACAACGATTACAATGTTCCCAAATCATCCAGGATCCAAGGATGATGATGTAATTAAGCCCCTTTTTTGCCTGACCATCAAATCTCGCTTCTACTCTGCCAACCGGCAATTGTCAAAGCAGACATCCTCTTGCTAGGGAGAAAGAGCTTGAAGACCAAATTTCTGCTGCAGGTTAAACCAGAAATCCTGAGCAAAGACACAAGAGGTAAGCAAGTACTTGATATTCTCCGTTTCCTGGTCACAGTGAGGGCAGTGTTCAGGATGTGGGAGGCCACACCGAGTGAGTCGATCAGCGGTCCAACACTTGTCATTGAGCCATTAACCACATAAAAGAATTACAATTCCCTGGAGCCCATGATTTCCATATTCTCTCCCAAGGGCCATATGTCACCGCACCCTGAAATTAGCTCCTGTAAGCTGTAAGCAGACTTCGCTGTGTGCTGGCCAGATATTAAAAAAACAGCATACATGAGTCTTCTACCCCAGGTTGCAAAGCCACCTCAAAGAGAATGTCCTAGAGCTCAAGGTATTTGGCAATAACATCAACAGATAGAGCACCTTGGATATTTGCAGTCTAGTTGTGATAAGAACCACCTCCCAATACTGTGCGTTTGTTTGACCTTCTGTAGGCAACCAAAGTAAATAGCTGGGGCACCAGACCACAAATCCGTTTCCCATGAAGCCAACAATCAGTCCAAAATAATGTGCGAGCAACAACACCAACTTCTGAAATCACAGCCACAGAAAAGAAGGCACCGGGCGCATTGTAGGGAAAGCCAACCAAGGGTGATTTGGCTCCGTTTTTTTGTAACCACAGACATCTCATCAATAGTGCCAGCAAAGATTTTGAAGGTTAGAAATTCCCACTCCACCAAGCTCTGGACAGAGACAGGTTTTGGTCCAAGCCACAAGCAATGGCACATGGATATTCTCATCCTCACCAAAGGAAACCCCTTCCAATCCTATCAATCGCCTTAATGGCCCAGGAGTTCCATAGCCATTGCCAAATACACCATCATCAATGTGAGCACGGACCAGACCAAGATCCTTGGGCTGGCGCGTGCTCAAATATCAGCTTTCCAGCCAAGGAGTCAGTCAGCTATCTTATCAATGATGGATTGATAGGAGACTTTGTCAATTTCTTCAAAGAGAGGTGAACTCCCAAATATTTTCAAGGAAAATACTGCAGCTCACACGGTAGCTGTTCTTCTGTATTCATGAAGTCCGTCTCGGTGCACTAGATGGGAAAAACATTACTCTTGTGCACGTTAGTTTCACCCCCAATACATCTCCAAAGAGGTCCAAAATATGAAGGTTAGACCAATATCATTAGCAGATGGACCGAGGAAGAGGATGATGTCATCCACATAAGAGAAATCCGGTGTGGCAAAGCACACGAGGCTTGACTGAGAATGTCTATTATGAGTATGAACATGTCTCCAGGTACTCAATTAAGAAGCACCAGTGTTGAGGAGAGGAGCAGCCCGTTGATATTATCACACCAAACCATGCAAAACCCCATCTTTTTCATGACCACAAGGAGGAAGGGCCTTGTGATCTCAAGCTTCAGGATGAATGTAGAAATTGAGCCGTTTGTTGAACAAGAATCAAATTGTCTTCTACAAATCTCCCCTTTATAAATGCACTTCAATTTTGATACAAACCCTTTGGTTTAACCGAGTAGCCGAACGATTTGCTTGAATTTCAGTGACCAATTTAGCAAAGCTATGCGCAAGACTTGGCAGTCAGAAGTTTTGTAATGGCAACTTTTTCTTGAGGGGAAATATGGTGAATTTTTTGGTTGCTGATCAAAATCCATTAAATTATGTGGGATAGCATAGCTAAGTTATCAAGCAGACCGTAAAGAGGCTAGTGCTTGAAACGCCATTTTATGTGCAAAACGGAGTAATTACTCCTAATAATATCTCAAGATATGACTATAAGAATTTAAGAGGGAACAAAAGGTGAACATGCAAAGATAGCAATGTGTGTGCATAGGAGACAATAAAAGAAGATGGGTACCTTTTCTTTTCTTCTTCCATCCTTTGTTTTACAGTGGGGTTTATTTTCTCTGATACATGACTTGGACTACCTGAGTTATTTTCTAATGAACTTGTCGTGCTCCGACTTCTCTGTCTTTTGTGTCTCCTTGGAGATGGTGGGCTTCTATGCCTTCTTGGACTTGGTGAGTTGCTCCTATCCCACAGTGGAGAAGGAGACCGAGTTTTTCGCCTAAGGATAAGTTAGAATTTGAACTTTAAAACAGGAAAATACGGCAGCAGAAAAGCTTATAAGGTTAACTAATATAATTAACTACTCCCTTCTTTCCAAATTATAAGACGTTTTAGCTTTTCTAGATACATTTCTTTTACTTTGTATCTAGACATAGTGTATATCTAAGTGCATAGCAAAAGTTATGTACGTAGAAATGTCAAAACATCTTATAATTTGGAACGGAGGGACTACTAAAAGTAGAAGAGTGGACATGTCAGTATACTCTCCAACAGGAAAAAGGGTATTATTAGGACTAGGAGGCTTGACCATTTTCATAGTTTTGATGTGATTTAGTACCGATATGTTAGTACTATCTGATTTTGGATGCCTTTCTTTGAAATCAGATCGGGCGCTCATGTTCTGTTTGTTTTATCTATCCCATTGACAACATTTCATAAGGAAAAAAGAAACATTCTCATTCAAAAACCCTAGACAAATTTAGGACGCCTTCCAAGCAAGCAAATCTGAGATCAGGAAAAGAAAATATGCAGAGAGCACCTGATGTCCGACCGAAAACACTACTGTAAGATGGGAGGGTAATCATCGATAAGTGATTCATGTTTGCACAACAGGACCTCCGTGAAGATCCGCTGAGTCAAACTAGCTGGGGCAATACATCGAACATCGAGGCATAAAACAGGAAAAAAAAAGAATTCAATCTAAGCTCTGACAAAAAGAAACCTAGAAATAGAAACAGAGAGATTGGGTGGGTGTGTGGGTAGGGGGTTAGACGAGTACCGGGAGGAGTAAGGGGAGCGGCTCCGGTCTCGTCTGTTTCTCCGGCTGGCGTACCGCGGAGGAGGGGAGCCTCGCCGGCGGAAGGGCGGAGGCGACCGGGAAATCTCTCTAGGCATCCGACCTTGTGCCTCTACTCCGCACTCGGCATGGATTGTTTGCCTGGGTTGAGTAGTCGCGCCCGTGTCTGCGAGGAACTTCTCAGTTCTCGCGAATGGGAGAGACGTTTAGAACTTTAGATAGATCTTGTTTGATGCAAAGTACTTTTGCGGTTTTAGAAAAATGTTATAATTTTATAAAATACAAGCAAAGTTGCAACGGAAGAAAAAAAATCAAATATTCATAAAAGATGACGATTAGAATGGTATATATATATATATATCTATTTTTTTCTATAAAATTTAAAAGATATAATTTATTATGATGACCAACGCATCCGTAATTTAAGTTAAGGCTAACAATAATATAGGAAATGTCCTATTATAAGTTTGTCTCGAATTAAAATAAAACTTCGATAGATTTTCTCATCGTTGTAAAGTACAAAAATACTTATTCGTAAATATATCATAACTAAAAATTTTATAATACACATATGTTTGATTAGTCACGGTTGATTTGGGTTTTAAAAAGAGCAAGGGATTGTTTGAAACGTAGGAATTTTACAGGAATAAGTTTAATTTCACGAGGAAGACGTAGGAACCACAAACATCCCATCATTCTTCTTGTTGTGTTCAGTTTGTGAGAAGTTTACGTGGTGTTGAGGAATTTCCGGGCGGAGATAGGGATATGAAAGAAATAATCTCCAATGATATTCGTGAGTATAGGGACAACAAAACTCCCCACAAAGATACAGGCGAAAAATCCGACGGAGATGAAGGGTGAGAATCTAATCTTCCACATGAAATTCATTGTTGACATCTCTATAAACAATCGACCGTATCTGAATTGTGGCTTCCTTATGGATTGCCAATAAAAAGCATTTGATAACAAATGCTGTTCTTGTAGCTGCCTTATGGTGTTTATCGAAATTACGTGACAATATTTGCTTTTAGGGGGCTGTTTGGACAGGACTGAAGGAGTTGATGCTGTGGATCACCAAGCCGCTGAGAAGATGGAAGCCAGAATTCACTGGAGTATCAGTGGAGAAGATAGAGCGGATTATCCACCGGATGGAGTTGAAACATCCCAGCCGCCAAACATTGGTTGGCATCAATCAAGACTAGCAACATTGGCATCTCAGCCTTCGGAGTTGGTCTCCACCGGTGTGATTCGGTTGAGTTCTGAATCGGTGTTGTATGAGCCTGTTATGCATGAACTTGGAGACCTTTAGGTCGTTTCCTGTTTGGCGAGCGGGCCTATAAGCCTATGTTGTAACGCTCTGATGGCGCTTTTATTATCAGTAAAGCGGGGGAAATCTCTTTTTTTTTTCTAAAAAAAAGTTCGACTGTATCTGTCACGTGAACCGTGGGTCACAGACGTCGAGGTGAAAGAGTATTACTTGTCCAATATTTATAGCTGCATTCGGACGCTCGTACAGAGAGTTAGAGACATTGGCAGTAAAAACTACAATCTCCGTATAAAAAATATAATTCTCACTTTTTGAGTAATTAAATGAAATATATTTTCGTAGTATAAACCTATTTAAAAATATAAATGTAAATATTTATACTGCGTAATATATAAACTCAATTAAAGTTAAGTTAAGTTAGTTTAGCTTGTACTCTCTCCATTCAGAAAAGAACGGGTTACATGCCAGCAAAAGTAGTTCATGTTTAATCAAATTTCTAGTGAATAATATTCATAGTTATGACTCTAAAATAATTTATTATAAAAATATATTTCATAATTAATCTAATAATATTTATTTAATATCATAAATATTGATACTTTTTTATCTATAATTGATCGAACTCGAGATACTAAACTAGGATACTATGCATTATTTTTTGGACGGAGGTGGTATTGTCGTATAAATTTTATAGTTACATTTTTTTTTTACCGAGAGAGTACAATCGGGTATCGACGCTGGTGCCTGGTTTGTGGTTTGTTGTTGAATTTTGGTTGGGTGGCCGAAGCGAAGCCCAACTTGCCCACCCCGCATCATCACCATAAACCCGAACTAAACAAACATGACTGACGCCTCGCGCCCCACCCACCCCCCGCCGCCCTCCTCGCCCAGTGGGTCCTCGTCCTCCGCATCTCCCATCTCCCGTCTCTCCCTCTTCCGCCTCCCCTCCGATCTCCATCTCCTCCGCCGCATCACCTCCCCCGAACCCTAGACCCACGCGCGCGCCCATTGCCTCCGGTCGCCATGTCCGCCGCTCATCTTCTCCGCCACTCCCGCAAGGTCTGTCTGCGTGTCCCTCCCCCTTTTTATGGTATGCAATTCTGTGCCATAAAAATGTGTTCGATCTGTCCGATCTTATGCGGGTAAACGCGCCGATGCTTCCTCTTCGTGTGTTGTAAATGTTGATGGATTTTGCAAGTGGGGGAGGGAATAGTAATTTATGGATTTTCTCCCTGCGCTGCTAGTAATCAGGGCACCAATCACTCATGGATGTGGGCTTACGTGCGGATGCATTCTGTAACTAACCATGCTGTTCGATCCGTGCTGCATGTTTGTGTAATTACGTGCACACGATGCGGGCGCGGGTGGTTGATTTTTTGCAGTTTATCATGTCATAAACTGGAGATTCCATCCTGTTTTGCGCCCCCCCTCCCCCCAACCCCCCACAAAAAAAAGGTAAGGTTGGTTGGAGGATCAGTTTGGATTGTAAAGTAGAGGTGTTGCAACTGTCATGACATTGACTGGTTGTTTTGACATAAACCTAGACTATGACTGTGCCCTCTTACATGTTGTTCTCACTTATCATTTATTTCTGCACTCCTTTTATGGGTTGCCATCGCTCCAGCTAGGTTTCTTAAGAACTTTTTATGCACTCCTTTTATGGGCTGCCATCGCTTCAGCTAGGTTTGTTAAGAACTTGTTCACATTTAACAGCATAGTGCACATCCCTCAGTTCGGTACATTCCATGTACACTGTTTCATGTGTTTTTATACTAAATTGAGTAATCAAGTAATCTACCATTCTGTTTCTACCTAATGTTTCTTTCTTCCTTCAATTCTACAGCTGCGGAGTTTGCAAAATGCTGTAGGCTGTGAGAATTTAAGTCTTGTTCGGCATTACTCCAGCGGTTCTGGATCCTTTATCGCCAAGGAAAACGGTATTTGCTATCATTCTCATCTTTCTTTTATTTTCTTCCCCCTTTTCAGTGACCCATTTCTGAGGAGGTCAATAGCATCTGTAATGTGTCCACTGAACTAGATTGGGGAATGCAGATGCTTGTTCAGGCTACATGCTATCTGATAAACTATTTATTCTATCCAAAAAGCTCATTGCTTTATTTATCGATTATCGATACACTTGTACTATTGTTTTGATTATTGTTCATGCCTCTTAATATCATGGATGTAGACATGTACTCCCTCCGGTTCTCTAAAGCAAGTCGTTTTGGACATCGACACAGTCTTTAAGAAACGACTTTGACTACAACTTTTTGCTATAAAATATTTATAAAATATAGTCAATATATACTTTTATGAAACTACATTTCGAGATGAATCTACTTACATCACTTTCATATTTTCAAACTCAACCCAAAAGAAGTTATTTGTAGTCAAATTTTAAAATGTTTGACTTAAGACAACCTCAAAACGACTTGTTTTAGAGAACCGGAGGGAGTATGTCACCTTAGGTACACATATTAGATATTAGATGCTCTAGAAATTCATCTATGCACTTTTCAGTCAGCCTGGATTCAAATATGTGATATAGAAGCATCCTTAATTGATTTTTCTTACATTTGTGCAAATAACATGAAGTGGTAAAACTATAATTTGGTTTGGCATTTTCATTGCCTATTATGTCACCATATTTACTATTATCGTTATTCTCACCAAGCTTTGGATTATGGAGTTGATACTTTCATTTCATGACATGTGAGTGTCTGATTCATCACATTATTATTTTGAACTTCTGGTGTGAACCTGTTTCAGGAAGTAGTTCTTTTGATTTCTGAGGGAATGTGTACAGTGAATAGTTCTCATTTATTGCATGCCCTTCATTGTTGCCATTGAAAATGTCACGCCTCTGGTTGCGTTAGGTGTTGGAAAAAGAACCAGAGGTACCAGATTTTCCCAGCATAACCAGCCTGCAAAAGAGCCGGAGACATTCTCACTAGGAGTAAATGGAAGCTGCACTTGGAGAAGAACATCCAACAGCCTTACCCCAAGTGCTGCTAGCTGGCTCAATGGTTCACTCTCATGGTATGTATCTTTCTAACCTGTTATTCTTAGCTTATAGAGATGTATTGGAATGCATCAAATGCAAACTACATTAAAATGGAAAATGAGAACTAGAAATGTTGACCATTGGATCTCTCATGGAAGTTCATTAAAATATTTGAAAATACCCCTGATTTATTCCACTATACTTCAGCCTGATCCACAATTTAGTGCACACACAAATGGCAGTCTGCTCTGCTGTAGAACTATAGAACTCATTCTAATCTGATGAATGATATTGAAGTTTATAATGCTCAGTATTAATTTTAGTTCCCTCCAGATATGCCCTGACCTTGATGTTCCAGTCAGGTCTTGGTAAATACTCTGAAGCTGTTTTGACATTTTTTTGGTTGTTTATTGGCAGTGGACAGGTAGTTTCAGCACGTCCATTCTCAAGTAGTGCAGGTACTGGCCGTTTGTTATACTTTTTACGCTTTTAATTGGGAAACCTTATTGTTATGACTAGTATATTTCTAAGTGGATCCAGTCCCTTCAAGAAATATTTGCAAAAATGCAGGGTTACTTTCAAATGCTTGTACAGAATTTGCATCTGCTGGCATTCTATTTTACTTCTTTCATAAAGTTTCTCCTCTCTGTATCCTGTCTTTTCAATGTCTCATTTGTTCATTCATGCACATATTGATCTGTATTCTGTCACTACAAGTACAACACAGTCAGATGACTCAGATCCCTCACCGCACCCCACCCACCCATTTTTTCGGTTGAACTTTGGATGCATTTTTGTCCTGCCAGCAAAGCTTTTAGCTTGTTTGCATTGCATTGGCAAATTTGAGTATCTTCCAATATTGGGTGTGGTGTCTGCATCTCTTTGTTTCCTATCTTGAATGCTTTAATTCCATTGGCAAAAGCATGGTCCTATGCTTTCTGTATTAACATACTGTGCTTATTCCAGACCTGCCTCCACATCAAGAAATCGGGATGCCGTCTCTTTCGCCTACAATGACTGAGGTATATTTGTCACCCAAAAATCATCACTACAAACTGAATGATAGGTGAACTGAAACCTGTATTGCTGCTTGTCTTTATTCTGTAAAATTCTTTGTAGGGAAACATTGCCAAGTGGCTTAAGAAGGAAGGAGACAAGGTCTCCCCTGGTGAGGTTCTCTGTGAGGTGGAAACTGTAAGTTTCTTATAATCTGCAGAAGATATGGAACATATGTTATTTGTATTTATTTTTACTTAAGCTGCAGCAGAACCAAATAACATCTGAGTGGATTTCTGGTGATCAGGATAAAGCCACTGTGGAGATGGAGTGCATGGAAGAGGGCTATCTTGCTAAGATTATTCAAGGAGATGGTGCAAAGGAGATTAAAGTTGGCGAGGTACATATTTACTGACTAAAGAATAAATATGATTTTGAGACATCAGTTATCAGTGTAGATAATAATTTGGCCCATTCTTTTCCCTTAGGTCATTGCTATAACCGTAGAAGAAGAGGGTGACATTGAGAAGTTTAAGGATTATAAGCCGTCATCTTCAGCTGAACCTGTAGCTCCTGCTGAATCAAAGGCTCAACCAGAACCTTCCCAGCCAAAGGTGGATGAAAAAAAGCTTACCCAGGCTCCTGATGCCAAGGCCCTGAAGATTGAAGAAGCTTCTCAATCTGGAGATCGCATATTTGCCAGCCCTCTTGCCCGTAAACTGGCTGAAGATAACAATGTCAGTTCTTGTTATGTCAGCTGTATTGATAGTTTTGATGAATATAGTACTTAATGTTGAGGGTTTAACAGGTCCCACTATCAAGTGTGAAAGGTACTGGTCCTGATGGGCGTATTTTAAAGGCAGACATTGAAGATTACTTGGGTGAGTTATTACTTCTCTGGTTGAAAACATTTGATCCCTTGTAAGTTCTAAGCTTATGCATTTGTACTGCCAAGTTAAATTTGGATGTCTCCCCCATTTAAGTACCTGCCATGATTGATATATAGTGTTCTGTTTAGTTGGCTGGAATTTTTCTAGATGACCCAGTATGTATTCCCCTTGCTAACTGCCTGTCGTTGATTGTTGTATATGGTGTGTTCTAGTTGTTGAGTCTGATTCTTTAGATTATAACCTGTGCCAGATTCTCTATATTAGAACCTTTAAGGATTGATACTAAAATTTTGAACCGCGCAATACTGAGGCTCTGCTTTGGCATTGTGGTTGATTGTGGTAGCCACACTTGCTGGAACCACTTTTAACTGTTCATTGTTTGTTTAACGGATTTTAAAAACCATGTTTCAAAATCAAGTATTTCTGCTTTCTAAATAATAACTGGAACGTGATAAGAGAGAATTTTGTGTGAGAAAAAATAGGGAAAGATTGACCTTTGCATGACAGGTTTTACTAGAGTTTAATCTGATTTGCCAAACATGGTGCCAAGAATTTCAAGACTGTTATGGTGCCAAGAATTTCAAGACTGTTTGTGCAGCAGCCTGGAAAAATAAGCTCAACCCAAGTGTAAACTGGCCCTAAGTGGCGCCATCACATGCTTTTGTTTCCCTGCTGGGTTATGCTAGTTAGATTCTGCAGAGAAAAGTTCAATTCACTCAGTTGTTTCCCTGAATCCTTGTTACACTTGTTTAGTTACTTGATTATTTGACTTTAGGTTATATAAATGTTATTGCCTCACTACATCATGATTGTTGCATCTTATTTCATTTGTCATTTGTGTAATAAACTTGTTATAATATCCCATGTTTTCGCATTTTGGCTTCATTTAGCTGAACCAACTGTAATCTAACTTCTTATCCCCCCTGGTGTTTATGAAACTTCTGTAGCCAAGGGTGGGACGAGGGAGGCTTTTGCAGCTCCAGGGCTAGGTTATATCGATATTCCAAATGCACAGATAAGAAAGGTAAATTTTGATGGCCAGAATGTTAGGCAGCATTTTCATATTAGATGTTAACAGCCTGAGAACGTGTTGACCTTTTGTTGTCTTCAGGTTACCGCAAACCGCTTGCTAACATCGAAACAGACCATTCCTCATTACTACTTGACAGTAGATGCACGTGTTGACAAACTTGTCAAGTATGTTTCTAACCTAATTTGTGATTTACAGAGCTCTTTTCGTTGGTGGAACAGCACTGATTCCTTTATTACTTCTAACTATGAGTTCCTTGTGTCATTCTAATCCACAGGTTGCGAGGTGAACTGAACCCACTGCAGGATGCTTCTGGTGGAAAGAAAATATCAATTAATGATCTTGTCATCAAGGTAATTGCGGGTTCTCCCTTTTGGTTTGGTATTCTATTGTGCACTTAGGTTTGTTTTTATTATTTGTACTGATATTCTATTAATTTCCTCTCTACTGTGCAGTAATGAATGTCTTTATTTGATATGCAGGCTGCAGCTTTGGCTCTTCGAAAGGTCCCACAGTGTAACAGCTCATGGATGAATGATTTTATTCGCCAGTAAGTTCTGATGGTTCATTTGTACTGGGAATATATTTTATTATCTTGTAGCCTAGAATAGAACAGTTAAATATGGTACTTATTTCTGGTACAGATACCACAATGTGAACATCAACGTGGCCGTACAGACCGAGCATGGATTGTTTGTTCCAGTAATTAGGGTAAGCTACTCCAAATATTTCCTATGTGTTCTTTCTGTTGTTTGTAAATTGGTACTTCTTTTGGGGAAATTCTAACTTCTACTTATGCTGCAGGATGCAGACAAGAAGGGACTTGGTACAATTGCTGAGGAGGTGAAGCAGTTGGCTCAAAAAGCAAGAGATAATAGCTTAAAACCAGCAGATTACGAGGTATGTTGTGCATACTAAGTGTGCTAAGCTGGAAAGTAGAAATGAGAAAAAATTCATGACATATTGGTGCTGCATTTTCAGGGTGGCACCTTCACTGTATCAAACTTGGGAGGTCCCTTTGGAATTAAACAATTCTGTGCCATCATAAATCCTCCTCAGTCAGCAATTTTGGCCATTGGTTCTGGTAATGAGTTCTAGAACATTTCAAGTTATATGCTAGCACTTCTCTGTTTTTTTAAAGCCATTTTATCTTATTTGTGCTAACCTGGCTTTAGCACTTGGACCAAGAATCATACATAATCTTGAATATAGTGCCGCTGAGTGATTAGTAATTCAGTTCTGCAAACAGGATGTTTAACCTAAACATTAGGTGGCATGTGTTTTGTTTCTATGCTATACTTGCTACTTCAGAATGATTTAATAGCTCCTTATTTTGCTAGCAGTGCCTAATGTTCTTTCATGGTTAATTGCATTCTTTTGAGCAGCTGAGAAGAGGGTGATACCTGGTTCCGCTGACGGTCAGTATGAATTTGGTTCATTCATGTCAGCTACACTGAGCTGTGACCACAGGGTTATAGATGGTAAGCTATTGGTCCTTGTGCGATGTCTCCATGGACTGTGGACTAGGAATTAACTCTGCTGTTCATGGAAACTATGCAGGTGCAATCGGTGCGGAATTTCTGAAAGCCTTCAAGGGCTACATGGAGAACCCGACTTCAATGCTGCTGTGAAGTTAGGATGGAGACCTAACACAATATTCTTGTCAAGTTGTTAAATAACCAGGCCACCCGAAAGTGGCGTCTCTGAACTAATAGGCAATAGCACAGAGCTGCCTTCTCCGTTTTGATATTGTGTTAAGTAGGATCAACGTATACAGGCCTTATTGAGGTCATTTTTGGGTTTGTCCTCACGGACAATTGATGGGAATAAATAGGAAAGAAGCCAACATGGGAAGGAACTCTTTGATTTTTGGAACATTGCTATGCGATTAGAAAACTATGTAAATCTGTTGAGGTTCTCCACAGTAAGCGTGATTAGGTGTGTTGATATCTTGATAAGAGTGGTAATCATGGATTCGTTTATGATGTTATGATACATGGTCGGCTGCTGTAGAGCAACCGCAATGTTATTTAAAAACAGTTCATAGAGATTAAAATAATCTCAACCAGCTAGCTAACACAATGTGAGACCAGTTTATAAAGTAGGCTATAGTAAAAGATACCTATAAGATTATGAACAACAGATTTTGTTAACTACGTATTTGTTTGAGGGATTGTTAACTATATGTAGAAGAAGCATACCTCGCACATTGCTACAAGAATTGCGAGTGATTTAGAATGAAACTATGCTATATATGAGTGATTTAGAATGAAATTAGGCTATATATAATTATTTATATGAAGGAATAAACTATTATCATTTAATGTTAGTGGATTGTATGAGCATGCTAATGTTGATGACTAAATACTTAGGTGTACCATTGACGGAGGTGGATAGTTTGGAGGTGGATAGTTTGCATGTTGAGATATAATGCCGGTGGGATTTAAGATTATAAGAGAGATGGATATGGATATAGATTTGTAAGCCTATTTTAACTCTGTCGTGCCATTGGCGCGTGGCGCGGTAGCAGATTTAGAGTGCGTTTGGTAGGATTTCAGATTCTTGTAGAAACGTTTTAGACTCAGATTCTCTGAAGAAACGTTTTAAGTGGTGAATCAAAATCACTTTGTGGAAACCGTTTGGCTATTAGGCTGCCGTTTGGCTGTTATGCTGGATTCAGGTTTCTCTCAACAGACACCCCTTCGGTGATCTTATCAATGAAGGCCACAAGCAGACGCCAACAATAGACATCTGTTCACAAAGTGATCTCATCCATCGAGTACAAGATTAGTGGATAGGATTAGACAATTAGTTTTACTCCCAAACGACATGTCCGTTAGGAACGGTCGTGTCCCTTCGTGACATCCCTTCACTTGTATAAATATATTTCAGAAATCCATGAAAGGAAACAGTTTTCCAAATCTTATTCATTTACATTCACTTCTAACATTGTTTACCAAATAAATATTTTTATATAAAAAATCTTATAAAATAATAATATGCTTCATAAAATCTTGATTCTTTTATTGGCAAATAACAACATAAATGCAATCCATTTAAAATTGTTGCAGTTAAAAAGGATAAGGAAAAAAAAAACAATCCCAAGTGCATATGAGATAAGTAGAAACAGAATCAGCGAAACCAGCGTGCAGCCGTTTCTCTTCCGCAGGCAGAAAAACGCGGAACGGGAGAAACGAGCCTTTAGTGAAGCCAGAAGCCTTGGCGTGAACCAAAGCACTGGACGGTGGTAGGCTTGTATTAAAAGCATTAGATTTAAATAAGCTAAGAAATAGAATAAAGTGTCAATACTTTCATTATAAATTTGATTAAAAATTAAGTTAATTTGATTTGCACAAATTTTATAGTTGCATTTCTTCGTGAAAGGAGAGGCTACCAACAAGGAAAGGATAACTAAAAAAAGGCAGGGTGGGACAAGGCTGTAAGTGGGTTGTATCCTTATTTGGAGAGAGAAGAAACGGACCTGAGACGGTTTAGACATAAAAATCAAGAAACTTTTTGAGAGAACCGCTTCATGGTACAATGTTTTTTTTTCTCTCACAATAAAACAACATCAGCCAGCTTATTAACCGCAAAACCATGAGCCGAATAGCTCCATATACGTTTGGTTACCGTGAGATTCTAGGAGCCCGGATAAAAAAAATCTCAGAATCTTATAATCTCATCCAAACAGTATAGTATTCTAGAGATTTTAACGTACATGCATACAATCCAATAAACACACAAACGAGGCCTAAATAGGTGGTAACTACTGTATGTATGAGTAGACTGAAAGACAGACTAAAAGATCCATATCAGCCAGCACCAGCAGCAACAGGATGTTTATTAGCCTTGCTCCCAGTGGGCTTCAAGCGTGGTTGACAGAACGACCGGCCCAGGTCCGACCTCTGGGGTCCTCTGGGCTTGAGACGACGGCACGCGTTTCACCACCAGGGCCCACGGCGCCAGCGCTGGCGCACTTGCCGGCTTGCCGCCGCGCTTTGCCATGGAGGAGAAATCAGAAACGGACAAATGGTCGATCGGGGAGCCCGCAGCCCACTCGAGCGTGTCGACTCGGCCATGTGCCTTCACAGGCCGTATGGCGCTGGCTGCTGGCGCAGGTGCGCGCACACTGACACACACTCTTCCGTCGTGCTCGCTGGTGGTGGAGGGCTGCAGGCACGGCGACAGCTGGACGACACGTCGGCACCCTTGGAGTCTTGTTTCAACTTTATACGTACGCAGCAGAGCCAGAGCCTTCCTTGGTCCTTGCCCGGCTTTTACGTCCAGGAAAAGAAGGAATTCGGTTTCCGACACCATGCGGCAGCAGGACAATCCAGTTGCCAACGCGGCGGGAGTGCGAAGGTTCCAAGAGTCGAGCACGTCTGGCTGATGAGGGCGCAGGGCACCATGTGTTTGTTTCTGACTCAATGGACAGTGGCCACGTCCCGCTCCTCCGCTCCAAGCTGAAACTGCAGCTGGGCAACAACAAAGACTCTTTTGGCTCCACCGGTGCTAAGCGCGCACGCACCACTCTTTTGGCTGGCTCACACGTGTTGGTGTGGCCTGCCGAGGGCGCGTAGGAGCAAACCGACCATGCCTCTGCCACAGTGCCCGTCGGCCGTGGCCATGGAATGCAACGTCCGAGTCCCACGCTACGGCCGCCTACGCGTCGTAACGTCGGCGGGGTGCCACCCGAACAAATCCTTGCCCAGGCCCACACGTCATCCTCTCTCAAAACCCTGCGCCACCTTTCCCCGAATCTCCCGAAAGCCCTGCCCTTTTTATGCCCATCCATCCGGGCCTCCGGAGAGGACATCGACAGCAGCAGCAGCCACCACGGCACCACCCACCCACGCAGAGCGCAGAGCAGCACAGCCACCTCACCACCCGCCGCCACCACCACCGCGCGCGTGATCGCCATGGCGGTGAGCAACAACATCACGGCGTGCGTGACGCTCCTAGCGCTAATCTGCGCTGTCCCCGTCATCGCCTCAGGGATCTGGTTCGCGTCAGCACAGGGCGAGGAGTGCGCGCGGCTAGCGCGGTGGCCCGTGGCGATCCTAGGCGGGCTGCTCCTCCTGGCCGCGCTCGCGGGCTTCGTGGGCGCGTACTGGAACCGGCGCCGGCTGCTGGCGTTCTACCTCTTCGCGATGGCGTCGCTGGTCGTGCTGCTCATCGCGCTGCTCGTCTTCGCCTTCGCCGTCACGCGCGGGTCCGGGGCGTACCCGGTGCTGGGGCGCGCCTACGACGACTACCACCTCGACGGGTTCTCCATGTGGCTCAGAGGGTATGTGTCTGATGACCCTGGAAGGTGGGAGAAGATCAGGGCGTGCCTCGCTGTCTCTGATACTTGTAAGAAGCTCGCGAGACAGGCCGCGTTCACTAGCGCCGAGCAGTTCTATCAGTCGCGCCTCTCCCCGCTCCAGGTATGTTGTTATGTGTCCATTATCAGTCACCTCCTCCTAAGATTACTGTTCATTGAGCTCCATTTTCCATGATTTTCTTACTGATTTTAGAATGTACAAACCCTAAGCAGAGTACTTACAGATGACTAGTACTAGTAGCTTCTAGTAGTGACACTTGCGTAGCTGAGGAGACAGAGATAGGGAGAGGGGAAAAAAAGAGGAATTTTTTAGGCTCAATCAATCAAAGGATCTGGAGCCCTCCAGAGATGCTACTACTAGAAGGGGATAGGAGGAATCAGATGACAAACTTTCTGACAGGGCTTAGCAAAAATATCATGGGCAGGCATCTCTACCGTCACTGTGGCGTGGGCCTCTCCTCGCCTTTCACCACGATGCAAATGCCAAATAGTCTCTGAAGGGGCATCCATGTGTAGGACCGTGTCGCCACAATACTTCACTTCCTGGATCAAATCAGATGCTGACATCGACTGGTTTGGGTGGGAACATTAGTAGCTGCGTGGTGGGCGATTTCTTGGTTGGAAATGCTAGCTCTTTTTTTTTTGTCAGTAACAAAAGGGTTTTAAACTTTATTAGTTACTAGCGATACCCATCTCGAAGTTGGAACTCGTTTTTATCACGAAAGAATCATCATGCGAAATTCGTCCCCGCGTCTCTCGAGAGAGCAATTGCGGATTTATGCTGAGTTCTTTGTGAGAACAAGGAACAAGGTCGGAGAGCGATAGCAGACAGGGGTCTCATGGGACGGTGCATTGGAGTGATACGAACACTGCTTTTGTAGTTTTGTTAGCTGTGGATCTGTGTACTAGTGATTGTAATCCCTGTTTCCATCACCTCGATTCGGGGTTTTGGTCACCTTGACAGCCGTGTTCTTGGCTTTGGCGCGAGTGCAGCTAGCATGGGCACAGTGATTGTAGCTGATAGGATAGTATTTTCGTCTTGGTGTCCTCATCTGCGCAGAGTTTGTCTGTCAGATTACACTACACGATGTGTTTGGGTCCATCCATCTCTGCACCCTAATTCAAACAACAAACTGTTTATGAAAGAAGAAAAAAAATCCATCTGACGACTGACGCTGCGTTGTTATTGTGCAAATTCAGTCTGGGTGCTGCAAGCCGCCGTCGGTGTGCGGGTTCAGCTACGTGAGCCCGACGGTGTGGACGGCCCCGGCGCGGCCGGCGGCGGACCCGGACTGCGGGCTGTGGAGCAACGACCCGGGGCAGCTGTGCTACGAGTGCGAGTCCTGCAAGGCGGGCCTCCTGGAGGCGCTCCGGGACCAGTGGCACAAGGCCAACATCGCGCTCGTCGTCGCCACCGTCGCGCTCGTCATCCTCTACCTCGTCGGCTGCAGCGCATACAAGAACGCGCAGGCCGCCGCCATCTTCGGCCGCTACAAGTACTAGCTAGTAGTAATTAAGCTGCTGCTGCCGATGATCGATGTGGTTAAGGATTTTTAAGCTTTTTGTCATATATGTGGATTGTGGATTTGTGTGTTTCCTGGAGAAGCATTTGTGTGTGTTCATCATGGCAGTGGTAGTGGTAGATGTGTAAGGAGCAGTAAGGGAGAGGAGATGTGTAAGATTAGTTAATGGTGTTTTTCCTACTAGTATTTGCCGACGAGTAATGTATCTAATAATCTGAAGAAGTGGCCAAGTGAGATGTACTACTGGATCATGGCTGATTGATTCAGATTCGTACGTTGTTTACTGACATTGAGGGAACTCAGATTTGCTGTGCGTGGGTTCAGTGAGATTTGTCACCATATTCTTACTCTTAACATCGTGCTGGTATGCTGCATCTGCATTGGATGCCATCGTAGAGAACAGTAACGGGCTCCGACAAGCGACAAGGCACGCTGCCTTACCCCATGGACGGATCCTGGTGCTCACCGATGCCACTCCAGAACCAGGGCTCGTACGTGTCACTGACACTCCGGTAACGATTTTGCAACAAGAAACGTTCGCGGAGAACCTGTATACAGACACATGAGTACATGACATGACACATGCATGGCTTGTTGGCCTGTGCAAAGATCGATCGATGCCCTTGGTAGTAGTGGTAAGAACACAAAGCAAACGCTCGCTCACTGTCACCGCTGCTGCTGCACACAGTGTCGAAGTCGAACACCAGCAGCTGGAGGAGGAGGTTTGCCAACCGAGACACGTCAGCACATCGTCAGTGGTACCTCCCTTGCTCCTCCTGTGCCTGTGCGTGCTTGGGTTGGCCGTCAGCGTCAGCGTCAGGCGGCGGGTGGCACGGAGTGCTGCTGAACACCCTGAAGGCGGAGACGAGGGAGAGCGCGACGAAGCAGGCCAGCGCGGCGGCGTGCAGCGCCAGCGACACCGTGGCCTTCCCGCAGAAGCGGCCGAAGTAGGAGCACACCTCGCCCCACGACACCTCCCGGTCGCCGCGCCGCGCCAGCTGCAGCAGCTCCGCCGCCGCCGAGGCCGACGTCACCAGCAGGTACGCCGACGCCTGCACCCACCGGCCACCCGTGCATATGCATGCACAAGCGATGTCAGTCAGTCAGTCAGGTCCCGTTTGGGGCGCAAACACGTCGAATGGTTCTGGTCTCTGCATCTCGTTTTCAGCAGAATAGCTGGGTGGTTCTGCATTTCAGTTTTCAACGTTGCTCTGTTCTGCTGAAATCAGCGTGATCCTATTCCTATCTTCTACTGCTACTCCTGTCCTGATCAGTCTGTCGATGAACAATTGTCGTCTCCTCGCCAATGAATTGGAACACAGGTAATTAAGAGTATATACTGTAGAGAAGAGAAGAGATGTTGGGTGAGACCTGATCCATGACGAGAATCACCCAGCCGTAGCGAGCGAGGGGCTTGAAGGACGAAAGCAAGATGGAGGCTACCGCGTAGGCAGCTGTGACGGCGTTGACGCCAACCAAATAGCTGACAAAACGAATTCAGAATTAGCGCGATGATGCGTTTTCTTTCAAGGAGAATAATTCAAAATCATGTTACAGATTCGAAAGGGTACAGCAGCAGCACGTACTGGTACAGCGGAGAGGAATTAAACAAGAGGGTTGACAGCCCAAGGAAGCGTTTGGTTATTAATCATACTTACTGCAAGTCTATCCGAACTTGCATCCGGCAGGGAGAAGTATGCAGACAGCAATTGAGGCATAATTAAGCTGACGGTGGATGCTTAGAGTACCTGAATCCGGAGAGATCGGAGAACTTGACCTCCCCGTAGGTGTCGTCCGCCTGCGCGTTGGTGGCCATCTCCCAGAGCGAGGCCAAGGCGAGCGGGACGACGCAGACCCTGAGCGCCATCTCGGGGACCTTGAGCCCCGCCGCCATGGCCCTGGACTCGGTGTGCGCGTGCCGTAGAGCCAAGGGGAACGAAGAAGATGGAGAAGACAGGAGGAGTTTGGCGCACTCACTAGCGTCCAGAGCGTGGCGAGCTACTATATAGAACAGGCCCCGTGTCCCGGAGATGAATGCGGTGCGCCTGGCCTGGCCCACGGAATGATGCATCGAGAGGTGGAATGGAACCTGTTTCGGTGTCGGGTAGTACGTTCACATGTTGGGCATGGTTGAATTGCAATCTTCCTGCTTTTTTCAAACAAAGAGGATACGGATTTGCAAACACTGGGAGATGTAAAATTTGTGGTACCAGGAGCTGCATTTGTGTTGAGTTTGTCATATCAGACATAACATCGTCATGTTTGCTTTGTGTGTTGTTGTGTTATGTGGTAGTTGGCCAGGATATACTAACGAAAAAAATAATAATAATAATAATAATAATAAAGACGTTTCTGGTTTTGGTCCATTTGGTTAGTGGGCGAGGTCAGTTGGTTTTTCTTTGTTGCGAGCTATGATGACGCTCGTGCAGGGTGCGCCTGTGTGAACGGAGATGCGTGTGATGGAAGAAGCTTGATCCCCACTAGACGCTTATTATACACGCGGCAAAGCTGAGCACGCACGGGAATGCGCGTGGTCGGCGAGACCAGCCGTCCGCACCACCGCTCAACGGGCCTACTCTGCTTCAGCGGAGCCACCACCTGCGTCGGAGCGCGCTATGCGCGATGCAGTGCGCCTAGTGTTTGCCTATGCATGCTCACACACATACACGCGCCGCTCACGACAGCAGCCGGCCGCGGTGACGTCGCTCCAGCAGCCTCTACGGCAACTATACATCGGGGCTGCGCTGGGGTTGGGCGGCGGCCACATTCCTCTGGCTAAGGGCCCGTGCGCCGACTGTGCTCTGCTGGCCCAATTCTTGGTTGCTGCTCACGGGCCTCTTTCATTCACTCACTCGCTCGATGCGTCCTAATAGTAACTCCACCGGATTAAAAAAAAAAGCAACCATTTTTCTTAAAAATTATCATATCCCTACATAATAATAAAGAGGTAAAATTTCTGGCCATTTTTTTCGTCCATCCATTTTTTCCCTAACTACCGGTAGTCGAGAGTTTCTTCCGTCTATACTTATATGACCCTAGATAGTTAGGACAAATAGATCTCTCTGAGCCTGAATAAACTGAATAGGAATAGGAAACCTAATTCAAATAGAAAAAAATGACCCTAGATATTGCATTGATGCCCGCAATCCGAGGTTTGTGCCCAGCAAAGAGACCAATCCTACCACGATGCGTTGGCATTGGTGCCCAGCAAGAGACCGAGTCCTCCTCCAGGTGCATTCCCTGACGAGAATCCCTGACGGACAAAAAAATATTTTCCCTGTTGGTGTTAAACCGCCGAGGAAATTACGACCCACAAGATAATGATATACATCTAATGAATGCAATAGCATTTTCTATACATTTCAAAAAACAATATATTTAATATCATTTGGACAGAAAATACACAATTATTTTAAATATAGCTTGAATCCAATAAATATAACATGAATCCAATACATACAAAGATGTCTTGCATCAACATATCGAAATACATAATACATCTAAACATTTGACACCCATCTACCCAAAACAACTCCAAATATTTGGCATCAGCATAATAAGCTCTTGCACAACCATGAGTACGCACTAGCTAAGCATTTACTACCAGCAGAGTACTAGATGAAGCAACAGCGGCAACCTCGCCATTGTCGCTACAACCCCACATCTCCCTAGTATTGATGCTCCAACTTGTCTATCAGTTACCACACTAATGTTTTGTAGATGGTCTGCATAATAATAATAGCAGTCAACAAGCTTACCAATAAACTAAGCAAAAGCACAAAAAGCACAATGACATTCAGACAAGTAAAATGAGACATGTTGCATCCATTTTCAGACAATGCACAATGACATTCAGTTTTTAGAAGAAAAAAAAAACATGCAACACTCTCAGGTTCTGTGAACTACAAACTCCTGCTGAAAATTTATGAATTGCAGCATTCAAGAGGGCTGCTACATCTCATACAGAAATTGCAAACATGTATGTACAGCTACAGGCTACATGTACGAATGATCTGGGTTCTGAGTCATTTTCATCCCACTCACACACACACACAACTACACAAAATAAACTTACCAGGTCAGTGACATATTCAGCAGCAATGTCCTTCACAAGTGCAACAGTTTCTGGAAGTGGCTGCAAAATCAAAAACACCACAAATGAGCAAATAACAATGTCTTTTATTATCACTTACAATGTAAATTACTACTCTGAACTATATAGGATTATTATTTGCAGTATATCCTTAATAAAAGAAAACAAGAATAAATTAAGGAACTAAACAAGAAATTATTCAATCTATATGAACTTCTAATGTTATTAGCCTTAGCAAACACCGACAAATTTCTATCAACATCTTAGTAAAGCTGATGTCATTTTAAAGCCATTGTGCATTTACATTTTACTCAGATCATGGAGCAAGATCTCAACCAACATAAATCCTGATCCTGATTTTTTAAGTGATCGATCCATCCTCTATATCTCAATCTGAACAAACCATGCTTAATCTAAAAGTTGCAAGATGAATGATTTTAGGATGTAATGTTGCAGCAGCTAGCCAATGCACTAATTCATAGTTCTGAACCTAAAATATAGTCCTTGTGTACAAAGAATGAGTTACTGAATCATGCTTATTATGGAAACTAGAAAAGGATGAAATAATCTTGGCCCATTAAATTAATTACCTTGTGGAGATGATACATGCATTTATTCAACAGGATCTGAAAACCCATGCTGCTCCGCTTCTCCCAATCACATTCTAGCACTCCTCTCTAGTCTAGTCACAAGCTAGCACTAGATCCGTGCATGTCGGTGTTTCGGACCGGGGGTCCTCAACCAACCAGTGAATTTGAACTGCGTGCCCCTAATCTCGGATGGTGATTCAAAGAGACACAAGGTTTATACTGGTTCAGGCAATCGATGCCCTACGTCCAGTCTGAGAGATCGATATTGTATTCCTTACACCGAGGTGCTTACAGTAGGGGGTTACAAGCTGGGCGAGAGAGGGAGCTGGTCCTAGGTCTCTGCGCGGAGCAGTGCGGGCTGCTTGAGACGTTGCTCTCAGACAGCGGGGGAGCGTATCTGAGTCTACGAGAGCTTATGTGAATGTTCGTCTATCTTTTTCCCGTTGTGAGTCTGTGTGTGCGTGTGGGCGTGAGCGTTAGCGCCTCTCTAGAAACGGCCCCGGCCTCTCCTTTTATAGTTGAATGGAGGACCGGGGTGATACATGCGTTTGCTATGCAGCGGTCTTGTAAGCGGAGGCGGCATGCCTGAGTCCTGTAGCTTGCTACTGTGATGGCATGGTCAACGGAGTGGTCTTGTCCTTGATGCACTGGAGCAACGCGCCGATCACACCTATTCTCGTGCGACGTGGGAGCTCTAGTGATAGCCTGGGGCAGGGTAGGGCCGACGACGTGCTGGTCGATGTGCGTTGACGGTGTAAAGAGCCGAGGCTCAGTTGGTGCCGAGGCTCAGTTGGTGCCGAGGGCAAGCCATCGTGGGGGGCTCGGCGGGCGTGAATCCGAGGCTACCGAGCCCCTGAAGTGGATTGCCGAGGCTTGGAGGGAGCAGTTGGTCCTATACACTGATTCCGAGGCTATAGTGACCTAGACTGGACTCCCCACGCCGCGCTGTTCCTGGAGCAGGTGTTAGGTAGCACAGTGTAGTACGGCTGCCAGTCATGGGCGCAGTGCCGAGCACAGTGGCCGGTAGTCCCTGCTCAGTCCTGTCTCCTGTCCCGTCGGTCACTCTGTGGTACTGCGCCGATGTGCGGCTGACGTTGCGGGAGTGGTTGGGCGTATTAACTGGATGCGACGCTTTGTCAGGGAAGTCAGTCGAGACGGAGGCGACGAGGTTGTTGCCAAGCCGGCCTTGGGCGAATCAGAGAATCAGTAACCCATTCGAGGCCTTACGGGGCGGGGTCTCGGGCGAGAGGGCCTCGGCGAGGAGGAGAGTCGTTACGGCTCGGGCCTCGGGCGAGTCGGAGAATTGGCCGAGACCCTGTGATCGTCCTTTGGCATTGATATAAGCGAGGCTTAAGGACTCTTTTTGGTTCTTGCTTAGGGTATCCCCTTTTATGGTATCCGACAGTAGCCCCTAAGCTTCGGGGAGAGTACGAGCACTCTCCCTGAGGTTTTGTCGAGATTCTGTCTTGCAGCAGCTCTCGTCGGGATTGTGTTTTGTTCTCCTGGTTCCGGTGGGTGCGCGCGAGCGCACCCACCGGGTGTAGCCCCCGAGGCCCTGGAGGAGTGGATTTACTCCTCCAGGGGCTTTGTTCCTGTTGAGTGAGCAGGCTTATCACGTTTGCCGGGCCCATGAGTGCGAGTTCGAGTCGCTGGGGCTTGGCCCAGTTGCAGGAAAAGCCCCCGAGCCTCTGCACGGGGCGAGAGGGCGATCAGGAGTTCCCCTGGCTTTTTATGCGACCCTCACGCATCCTTTTCGTTCGGAAGGAGGGGTGGAATATGCCAAGCTACCCTTGGTGGGCGCGAGCAGTGACATCTCCGGTGAGCTGCTATCGGGTAGTCCAAGTGGAGGACCATGCCCCATTCGATAGGGGTCGGCTAGCGGTCCAGAGACGCACTCCAAAAGTACTAGAGGACTTCTCTAGTGGGTCCCAGGGCCGTTCGATCGGCCCCGGGGGCTCGGCTCCTCCCTACGCTGGGATCCCATTCAGAGACCTCCCTGCTGGTCTCGGATATGACTTAGGGCTTCCCAAGCATTTGCTTGCTTGGGCTTTTGGCCACGTTCGGGCTTGCCCATAGTCATCCCTGACTCTGTTGTCCTGGGGCGGTTGTCGAAACCTTTGGGGGCCCAGCCTTCGAACCTCTGAACCGTAATGGGCTCGGTGCCCTTTTTGTCACGTTTTTTTGAGCCTCCGAGTGCGAGCTTGGGTGGCT